ACGTACTTGAAAATGTATCAGTGAGCTAAACGTGCAAGCTATTCATCTTAGGAATCAAGTATTGTTATCTCTGCAGTGAAACTTTGACGCAGGTGAACAGTAAGGTATGCATTAAAGCCTACTCTCTACTTGTACTACACTAGGAACAAGTAATAGGTTTATTCCATGCTGAAAAAAAGAAGAAAGAGAACACAACGTTTTGGCCGTGAAGCCTTCTTCACACCTGAAGAAGGCTCCACTGCCAAAACGTTGTGTTCTCTTTCTTCTTTTTTTCAGCAGGGAATAAACCTATTACTTGTTCCTTTGCAGCCTACGCATGCTGATGCAGCTCCCCGCCTGGACTTGTACTACACTAGTCTGTCTGACCAAGTGCTCTGCTTTGCTTTGGAGAAATGCTTGAAATTTAGAATTGAAGTATCAATGAGCACCTGGTGGAAAACTTCCGATTGCTGGGGATGGGCACATGGCTCCATAAAGCAGGTAGTCCCACTGAGAGCTGGCAGACACCCAGCTAGCGGCTGCACAGTTACCATGGTGACCCGACTGCAAGTGTCTGGAAGATGAGAGGCAGTGTGTGGAAGGGGAATCTCTCTATTTCTGTACGAGGAGGTGAGACTGAACACCCACCTTTTCCTGTTACACAGCTATTCCACCGTATCTGTACTGTATATATTTCGTTTATAAGTACATAACCATGTGACTATATATTACCACCCACACACCGTTAATGGGCAATCCTTTCCCTATAAATGCCCGATTACAATTAAACAGAATTTTCCACATTAGAATAACACTTTAAGTGATCTAGTTAGAACTCAATAACTAATACTTTCAAAGCTTAAAAAAATCTATATCATAGAAGCCCATTTGGTGTGTATTTACCTGTATTCTTTCTCTATACAGAAGTTCAGATTGAGCAACATTTAAACAATTAATGATTTCTTCATTCAATGAACATTGAATTGATGATTTAATTATTTTTGCTTTCTCTCCTCAGAGGGGAGATGTTTTGTGTAGCACAGTGGGTAAGTCTCAGGACTAGCTCTGGAAGCTTAGCTGGTGGTCTGTGAGCTCAGGTCCCCCCTCAAGGCTCCGCTGTTGTGCCTTGAGACAGGTACTTCACCCCGGCTGCTCCAGCCCACCCAGCTGTATGAACAGCTGTATGGAGTTTAAGTACTCTCCTGCGTCATGTTGTCCGGAGAGAGTGGGATTATGTTTGACTGTGTGTCCATTTTCAGATAAGATTTACGTCCCTATCTGCCAGGCAGCTCTTGTCAGTAGTAAACAATCAGTACACCTATTGTACTAGAATAATTTAACTGTGAGTTCAAAGTGAATCTGAATGGTATGTGTATATAATAATTGTTATTTTTAGTTAGTAACATCTCATTTGGCTTTTGCTAAATGACTAATGACTAACTCACCGCCGTCCACAAAATCATGATTTATTTTCTATGACTGCATAAGACCACATTTTTTTTTGTACAGATCTTTTCTATAAATGCAGAAGCAAAGCCATAATTCCATGTGCATGGTAAAGACAAGGAGCTCTTAAGCGTCATCAAGCCAGAGTTCGTCCTGGTCTGTAGTGTTAACTGGACAAGAGAGTATGTCACTCACTTCTGAATGAGACATCGCATAGAATTGTGCACACAGTAGAATTAGAAGACATCCTTTTCTTGTTTTGGTCCTGGAATGTTTTTGATTCATCAGTTACTATTAAATCAAAATATTCTGTCTAAAATAAAGCAATCTGAATGTTCGTTTAATAAATGTGGAGTCACACTCCTGGCTAGAAGAGAACTCTTTGCTCTTGTAGTTGGTTGTTACATTATACTCTCACATGCACAGACAGAAAGGCTTTGTTTGCTATAAACCAAGTTCTCCCACTTTTACTTTAGTAATATTTGCTTCTCAAAACAGTGACTCGCTGGGGTTAAAAATGGCATTAGCAATGTTTCTGATCATTTAGTTTCTTTAATCCCCTTTACATCTAATTAAGTCATTTAATGAACTATGAGCAAAATGTTTTTCTGATGCCAAACTGTGTTTTTCTGCTAATTTGTGTACCATGCATCCCCTCTTATTATTTTTAAGTACAGCTTTGCTTTGCATTTCCTGCAAGAAAATACTCTGATGCATCCAGAAAAGACACATTTGTTTCTGTGCATTGGTTTAGGAGTTTAACTGACTGAATCCTCAGCATGTGGCTGTGAAGAAATGTTTGTGGGCTGTCGTTTGTTAATCTCTTGCAATTTTCCAGCACAGTACTTTTTTTTTCTGCCAAGTTGAGCAAAATGATTTCTAAAAGCCCATTCTATAATCTTGTAAATGATCTGCTGGTGGAATTGATGGGAGGTAGTTGCCAAATGAAATATATTCAGACCAAGCAAGTATCTGTTTTGGAAGTTGTTAATGACCCATGAAATTGTGCTTGGTCCTGTCATGTTTAATAGAGTGCTCTTGGAAAAAAAAACTGGGTACTATAAAAGTCTCAGCCTCATTCTTTCAGCTAAACAGTAACAAGTTATTTTGTAAAGAATACTTTGTCTCGTATTAATTTAAAAATCTGATAAAAATCCAATAATTAGCTTTAGCTTTCATGATTTTTATTATGACATGCTCCAGTCATGTTCCAGATGAGCCAGAATCATAAACCATATTACTTGCAAAATATCAGGACTGTTGCAAGACTTAATGACTAATGACTGCTCTCCACTGGACCAAACTGGAAAGGGTTTTGTAATGCATTATTTCACATGGTTGATTAAGACAAGTGATTTTTTTACAGGCTGTCAGCAAAAGCCCTTTAATAATAGTAAGACCCAATCTGAAATAGCTATTTGTTGGCAAATTACAGGAGTGTCCAGGCTTTGCAGATGGATTAGAGACTGTCGAAAAAGACTTAGATGGAATAATTGAACATACTGTCTTTTAAAGAAAACAGATTTTTTTAACACTTAACTTTAGCTTTCTAAAGCACTTAATGGTGCAAGTCTAACAACAATGTGGTGTGTGCAAAGCAGAAACTGTAAGATCCATTTAAATGTAGACGTTATTGTGTGCTCAGCAAAAGATACATTTTCTTACCAAAGTTTGCATATGCGTATTTAAGCTATATACAGCTTTATTTTAATAGGAAGACATTGTTTTCCATTGAATAATGTTTATTGTGCTAAAACCCGGAGAAAATGTGTTTTTTCCATTTAGCCAAAAATTGTCCCTTAAGGTTTTGTATATAATATGATGGGTGAAAATGTCTAAAGAAAAGGAATTCAACATATTAAATGTGCAATCAGCCTAAAATCGCTTTTCTATCTTGCTCTCTACGGGATGTCAGGATCTAGTCTGTACCTCATTGTTTGCTTCCAAACAGTTCACTTGTATTGGTCATACAGACTGAACTGATCTACAATTTTGTGAGCAAGGTTTCACACAGGCTTACACATTGCCACTGGGAATTATTTTTCCATTCTTCAGCCACCATTATCTGGTAGCTGAACCTTCGGGCATATGAAAGCTCAACAGCTTCAGCTTCAGGAAGCACCTCCTCTGGGCTCAAGGGCGTTTACTAAACCACATTTGCTTATCTGTGCTCTTACAGCATCTGTGGCACCTCCTCAGCAGAGCCGTCATTTCGAGGAAGTGCCTGAGTGCGGTTTGTAGCACAGCAGAACGTTCTTACCAAAATGACAAACTAATAATGAAGCAAGATTTCTCCAGATGTAGCCCGATCCCTAGAAATATACCCTTTCCTTCCTTTACTCCAGAAAGTAAAAGTAAAGGTAGGGTGTTGTTAGGAACCACTAACTGTCCTGAAATTGTTTTTTTCAGATTCATGCATAGCCAGAAATGCTTTTGCCACTAACAATCTTGGCATATCTGTTTGAGTTTGAGAAAATTATTGTTTTTTAATGCCAAATGAATGGCTCCCGAAAGGAATTTCACATTTCTTCAGTTCTACTTTTGCTTTAATAAAACTAGAACTGTTATAGGAACCGAAACATAAAGAACAAGGAGCCCTTGAATCGTAACAATCAACAAAAAATTATTTTACTATGATCCTATAGTTCAATACCTGACCTTTGCAGTAGCATATTCTTAGTAATGTTGGATAAAATAAATTTTAAAAAATACATCGTCTTGTAGGATCAGTTCTCATTTACATTGCATCATAAACACTGTTTTTTACAAGAGCTACCAGCAGTTAACAATTAAGTTGGTAGTATCGTAATGCATAACAATGTTATTTGCACCTTTATAAGATGGATTTCTTTTTTAAATGACTGAAAAACAAAAAACAACCTCCTCACAGGAAATATGGCTGCGAACTGCATAGTCTAAAAGCTCTAAAGTTCAATCTCAATTTTATCATGGCTCCCCCTGGGGAAAGTTCCTATATAAATCTGAGGCAAGTGCTATTGAGTGGTATTTATTTCAAGCTGGTCAGATTACACAGCAAATCAGTTGATTTTCAGAACATCTGCATTAAATCTGCTTTTCTCCGCTGCATTCTGAAAACCTTAGAAAAGCTTAAAAAGCACAAAGGATTTTCTAGGATTCTGAAGGGAGTAATGAAAGTAAACTAAGGGCACTGAAGGGCAGTTAAATGACTAAGGTGCAAACAGAATGCAGAGAAGGGGACACTGGTGTCTGGGGCTGTGAAACTAAAAAGGAAATAAGTGTTTCAGCCTCATTAGTTTGGATGCCTTGTGTAAGGAGGCCAAAGGGGCTGATCGACTCTTCTCTTTCTCTTCTTTTCACATGCTGCTCTTTAACTTCAGTTTCTCCACTGCCTGTCAGTCCCTCTGCTGTTATCACAACCCTACCTCCCCTCCCAGTACATCTATAGCCCCCTCCCCCACTTCACCAAATACATAACACTGCCCAAAACCCCACCCAGGTAGTAAAAACTCCCAGGAATTAAGTGTACTGGAAGGTTTCTGGAGTGTTTTAACCACAAAACGATTTGGGCTCAACTTGCCCAGCTGAAGGCTTACCTCCTGGCCAGAGGACGAAGTGGCTGGGACCCCCATACAGCTGCAGAGGTGGAGATGGGATGAAAAAAGACGAGGGAGAAAAGGGGATCACAAACAGTATGTATAGTGTTTTAGGTGAGGAAATGACATCAGGACTGATTACAAATTACCCACAGCTGGCTGTTGCCACCCCTCCTGAACTGTCGTTATCAGCTCCCATTTGTTATTGCACTGCATGTGCCTCAGCTTAGTAGTGTTATTCATATTTTGCTCTTAATCTTTTAACATAGAACACATATTACCTTATGACACACCTGAAGAAGTCTCCACGGCCGAAACGTTGTGTTTTCTCTTTTTTCAGTATGGAATAAACCTATTACTTGTTCCTTTGCATATTACCTGATGGTTGATATTCCTATAATGTATATGCCTGCAGATATGATACTTTCTAATTCATTTACTCTATTTCTTGTGTTTACACCTGTGCTGCACTTTCTATTCTTCCAGAATGGCACTTTTCTTTATCGTCGTGATATTGTACTTTCTCTTACTTGTAATCATATTGGTTTTTCTCTTTTCTTCTTGGCACTTAATGGAGCCACTCCAGATAAGGCCATCTGCTGAACAAATAAATATTAAAAAATAATGAAACTTCAACAAGTAATTTATTTTTGTCCTCATACTGTAGGCACCATCAAATCTTTTAAAACAGAAATTAAGATGAATATTAAACAGCCAGGGCTGTGAACAACATCAGATAAACTCTGAATGGTAGTTTATAGGCTTAGTTCTAAGATCTAAAATGTTGTCCGGTCTCTCTCTGAAAGAGCCCAGCCAGTGGGCTTCCATCACCTGCTTGGACAGCCAGTGTTGGACACCCCCATCTTTGTGCAAATAAAATAATATTTTCCTATTTTGCATTCTAAATGTATTCCATTTTAGCTTCTAATTTTGACCTCCTTTTCCTGTTCAAGTGCTGACCACAAAATTCTAAAACAAAAAGACTAAAAAAAATCACAAATCAACAAATACAACACAAGCAGGCAATCACAGAAAAAAAAAAACTTTTCTCTCCACTGTTCAAAAACATCCTACTATAATTCAACATTTGCCTCATTCCCTACTGCTGAAAAAAACAATTGCAATGCCTCGTGTTTTGACTGCAAAAGATAAAGTACAGCCTTCCTTAAAGAAAATCATTTTTTGCACTGAGATTAAGCATTTGTTTTGAGAAGCAAGCCACGCTCGTTGGTGTGGAGAAAATTATGGCGACACTACCTTAGTGAAAGACTCAAGGGAAACCATTTTCTTTTTCTTTTGTGAAATCTGTGTTGTGGACAACACCCCACAAAATCATAAAAATGATTATCCCACCTTCCAGGTGTTCATAATGATTTTCAAGAGATGTTGTAGTGTCTCATTGGCTTAATTATGTACTGTAGCCTGGGCAGCCCCAAACAATTATCACTGGGGCTCTGTGAAGCAAGGAACTGTAGAGGGCAGTGGATTTGTGTGACTAATGACATTACTATGAGTTTAAAAGATTTACATCGTTGTAAATGACTTAAGCACTTTATATATCATGTATCTTTTTTGTAAGGGTGGAAAATGCAGAACATTTATGGCTATTGGGTCTCTTAAGAGGTCAGGGAACATACAGTAGATATATAAGTTGCGTAAACCTCCTTAATAAATTTACGTCAGAACAGCAAAACTGAAATCAATGAATGAGAACTAGGGTTTCTACCTACTGTATAAGGGATGCAAATGTTGTTTTTGAAGATCAAATTTAAGTGTTTTGATAGAGCACCTTAGTGGATCCAGTTAGGTCTAATTGATCATTGAACTTATCCAGACTACAGCATGTCTGCAGTGATGATCTCTACTGCACGCAAATGCTCATGTTAAGAATATACACAGCTGTCTGGATAATAAATACACAGTTATTTTTTACAGGTGCAAAATAAATTCAATCTAGAAAAAAAGAAGCCAGAAATGTTCCAGCCTTAATAAAACAGCTTGCTTGTAACACATTGCTTAGAATTCTGTGTTCCATAACAATTTAATATAGATGTCTCATTAAAAATGATTCTGTGTATTAGTGTCTTTCTGGGTAAGGTTGGTTTTATGCAAAATAGGCATAAACATTTTGAGATGGATGTGGACCCCAACAGGAAAGTTAAATATTCCTACTGATTTCCTGGAAAAAAGAAATTAAGAGCTAGGAAATCAGAGAGGAGATAACATCCCACTGTGAGTTTAGCTAAAAGCTATTCTGGAAGATCTCTGAATAACAGAGTTTTAATATTGCTAGATAAAATGAATGCATAAACACAGCAGTGGTTAAAAAACACAAGTAAATCAAAATAGTCTCGGCCTCTAATTGTTTTGTTAAAACAGAGAACTCCACAAAACAGAGATGTGTTGAAATGACAATGGTGCTAAAAAGCCTCTTATAAGCAAAAAGGGATAAAAATGCTGTAATTTCTTTACAGCACTTCAGGGAAATTACACTTCAGGGTGCAATTTCTATTACAATACTACCCTATTAACCCAACAGGGCACAAGGAGAATAATACTAGTATCACAGTTTTAAAATCACAGTATCACAGTTAATGTAAAGTCACTTTATATTAACAAACACAGCACAAAGTGTCAATGCACAAAAACACAATAACTATACTCATATGATTCTGGAGTTCTGCATCAAGGATTACTTATTACTTACTGACCAAGACTGTTTCTGGTCTGTTACTGTTCTGTGCAAACTCTCTGTTGTGTGGGTCACTTCTGCATCCATTTTACAGAGCCACAAACACTTAGAGTCTAGTTATTGTCTCGTCTTGTGTCATTGGTCAGTGGGTAACTGAATGGGTGGACATCAGGATTTAAAAGAGTGGGCAATTGGGTGCATTGAGCCTCTTGGCTGAGAAAAAGAAGGAGAGTCATTTTGAATGAAGCACTGTGTGAGTGCTTTGTTTCCAGGGGTGTCAAGCACATTGAGTTTGGATCCGAGGACAGAACTGCGTGTTGTTTTTGTCGGCTTGTGTTTGAACCATACTCCCTTCTCCTCGTTGCTCTTCTCCTATGTTTTATTTTTGGAGTGATTTTGTAAAAACAGCCTCATGTTAATCTTTTTTTTCCCCCACAGTAAGCTGGAGACATGCATTTAGATTTGCAGTGATCTGAAACTTTCTCTTTCTCCTCCTTCTTGACCATGATAATTCCGTCTGGTCACTTTCCTTATTTGTCCAAGTGGTGGCGGATGTGGAATTTTGCCAGGTGCAATATTAAGGAGTACACCAAACTTCAATATCTTCCCCATGTTCTCAATGAGGTGTATAAGCAATTGTTAACATTTTGTCCAAGTAGCAACATCTTAACAGTCTATTCACTTTGTCATCTGATTCTTTTCCAAAACAATTTCTGAGGTTGCTTTCTGAGAGGAAGATGGTGTCTTGCTCTCCTAATTGGAATGTCCTCATTTGGACTGAGAGTCATTTATCTTGCATTTGGGTTTTAATCAAAAGTGGAAAATCAGAAGCATTTGCAACTGAACATTAACATTTTGATGTCAGTATGATGGCGGCTGAAATTTCCCATTAAATCATCACAAAGGCCTGGTGGATAATGCATTTCAAATTATAATGAGATAATTTCCATAATAACTAGGTTGCTTAAGTGTCCCCATATCAGCTACATGTAATTCCCATCATAAGTAATTACAGAAAGACATTTTGCAGACGTTTTTCTTACACTACATTTTACAATATAAGGGTCAATGTTTTTCACAACAGTGGGAACCCAGACGGCCATGATTTCCATCCTGCATATAGTATCTGCATTGGACTTTTCACCATTGCTGAAACACCACCTTGCTTCTAATGGACATAGCAAATAGCAATACTATATGTTGGTCACTGTGTTAAGATAATGTTTTTTGAGCCTAACCTGTTCCATTGTCTATATGTTTTAAGATCTGGACACTAATAATGATAATAAGAAGGAGTGACTGACATGTTAGAATGTCTATGTTAGAAAACCACAATTAAATAGAGCACAGAAGTCCTATCAATTTAAGATCAAGTGTTGGGATAGGAGACCTCTAAGGAAAGCTAGGTTCCTGATGGTGGTAGACCAGTAGGTGGCACTTTTCCTTCCAATCCAACGCCCCATTATGGTGATAGGTGACAATGCTCTAGAAGGTGCATTAAACCCAGGTCGTGGCTACTTTGTCATTAAGATCCCATTATCACTCCCTTTACAAGCAGAGGCACTAACAAGGGTTTTCGCTTTTGGCTAAATTCCACTCTAGGCCTGCCCAAGCTGGCCTCCATACACGTCCCCCCTTATTCAATGGTAAAGCAGTTTCTCACTCCATCTGATGTGCATGGTAGTGGGGTGCTGGTGCAGAATGGCGTTCCTGCATTTCCCAGGAGCAAGAAATCTGACTTTAGTCATAGATGTACTGGTTCCCCTCCAGAAGGTCAGGTGCTTTAGGGGCTCTTTGGGATAAAAAAAAAACAACGATATTTAAATGAGAGCAATTACAGAACAAGAATGAATTCAGGGTTTGTGAACTGCCTCAGTTATTAGTTTCTGGTTATAGGACAGTGAGCCCAAATAACACCACCAGTTAAAACACTAAATGAATCAGACTGCAAATATTGCCATTAGTGAACCATATGCATTTTTATTAATTATATATTTGATTGCTGTTCTGTGTAAATGGTCCCACTTAGCCATGTAATACTGTATCCGTCAACTTACATGAAAACACTTTATGATGATGAGAGTCAATTTCTAAACACAGTACATAAATATGTGAATCTACTGTACATGCACAGGGAAGGTTCTCACTATTGTCTCCCTAGGAATTGGCAGGTTTATTTTTACTTGCAGTACTCCATGTTGGTATGGATTTTAATCACAAAACAGCAGACATACCCCAATTAGCAGTAGTTAAGGGAAATTAATTACATCTCTTAAAATTCACAAGGAACATCATACAGTGAGAGGACAGAAAAAGGAAAGGAGACAGTGGCCAGCCACAAGCTTTCACACCTCTTAAGTTAGAATGAATGGAGCATAAGGTCAACTAATGAAATACTTTACTGTACATCCTGCACGAAATGACCACTGCAGATACTGGAAGGCTTTACAGTTACGAACAATACTGAATATGTATGAGCAAATCACAGATATAATTAATGCTTCACCGTGTATACACAATGTACACATTAAAAAAATACCCTCATCGAACACGTTCTTTTACCATGATATTGTATGCTACAATACAAAACGGTCATCTTGTTTTCGTTCTTTCTCTTACTGTTCTCTCGTTCAGAAAGACCGGAACAAAAATAAAAATGTGGCTATGGATGCATACAAGGGAGAATCAGACATCCTTTAAAAATGAAACAAAAAAGTGCCGTGGTAAAGTGAATTCAAGTAATGGGCATGCTTTACACCACAAGACGCCCCTGGAGAGCTCACTGGCCATGAACAAGTGGCTGCTCCTCAGTTTAGCTTTGCTGTTCTGTGCTTTCAGTAATCTCCCCTTTGGCTGCTTTTGAAAGGATGTCCATCCATTTCATTTGAAGCTCCTCGTCCTCTGCACTGAACAGTATGGTCTGTTGGGACTGGCTGAGTTTGATGACATGTTTCATTTCCTGCTTGTCCTGTGGCAAGCAGATTTCATAGCCTGGCAAAGGGATGGCACGTGGTGAGCGACTTTCCTGAGGAAACAGCAACAGACACGTTAATAAGAGGCTTGAGCTGTCACAACAAAGTCCAACAGCAACGTCCTCCTTTCTAAACTTGTTCCGCTCCACTTGGGTTTAATATTTATTTGGGACTCAATACCAAAGTCACAGAAACCTTTCTTCCAGCAAATGTTTTATTCAAAAAGCAATTAACCACAATCTCAGCCACCTCCTGGCTTTTTAAAATTGAAGCCAGAGAGTACAGCTCATATCAGACCCTAGATTTGGCGAGTGGAGTTGGGTCAGGTATGTTATGGGAACACAGCTGTGGGATCACGCTGGCTCTTGTGTAGCGTGATCCACTTTCCGAGCCTTTATCAATTTTTAATTGAAGTTTAGTTCACCCTTCAAGTAGTTTCAGATGTATCCGCTTTTACTCCCTGCACTGGAGGAACTGTGAAGTGCTATGCTAGCAATATGACACTCTCATAATGATGGTTAAATTAAAGAGAGGCACAAACGTTAATTATACAAAATAACAAATGACACAAAGAAGGACACATTGTTTTTTAAAGCTATACACCCTAGAAGGCAAAATGCAAAAATGTTCTTAGATTAGATATCAAATCCATCTAACCTAGGAATATTGAATATGGGCCAGTATCCATTAAGAAATAACATCTGATGAGCCGCAGGCAATATAAGTCTTTTTCACCTGCTGGGTATTCTAAATTACCTTGCAAACTCCTGCATCGTGTAATATCATGCACTACGCTCCTTTACTGAAGTAATTCCTCCCTTCAGGCTGCATGTTATTACCACACGGCTTTTCTTCAGATTTGGAAGAGCAGACCGCTTCATCTGATTTCTATTTATCCCCATCTCTTGTTTTGGAATACAAAATGATTTGGGATTTTTAGAAGCAATGGGATGGTGCACAAAAAAGTTATAAATTTTAAAACCCCCTGTCGAAGAAGCCAATCAAGCTTTCACACCCCTTGAGCTTGGCAATATGTTGGAAACTCGCCAGTGCTAAAAAATGTCTAAGCCCTAACACATTAGACTGGATATAATCTGCAAGGGCTCGTGCCAGACTCATAACATCAGGTCAGTACCAGAGAGGCTAAATCCTCTGACCTAATTCTCTTCAGCTGCTGGCTGAATAGCACTTACGTGATCAATCTTACCTGATCGCTCATTTGCAGGTATAATACCAGTGGCTCATTTTTGGTAATGGTAACCCAGACTTTATTCCAGGTCTTCCCCTTCTCTAGAAAATGCAGATGACTGCAGAATAGACTGTTTTCTGCTGCTAGTGAATTCTGTTTCTGTCAGAGAGAGGGACAGTGAAAAGGCACAGAGGTTATTTTTTCCTTAAATGGGAAGCAGTTACATTTTTATCTTATTTTTAAATGTCATTATTTCTACGTTAGTACAGAACCACCTAGTAGTGCTCTAGAGAAAAAGATTCTCAGTCCCGGTCCTTGTTCAACTGAGCCCTTAATGATCGGTGCCTGTAACTGATCTGTTTGCTCGTTCGGATTCTGTTTTGCACAGCCCTTATTCTTAAAAAACATCCTCGATGAGTGTGCAGTATTTCTACCACACCAGCATGCAAACCCTTATGCACTCTGACCTCAGTTTCGTAGTAAAAAATGTCTTCACTAAAATGTCTTCTTCTGAGTTAAAAGCCTTTAACAGGTGACCAGTTTTGATTAACAGGAAGATCATTAATACTGTATACTGTATCACTCCAACAATGAGTGTGTTTCCTTCTGCTTTTCTCAAGAAGCCCAATTTGTCACTTTCAGCTAACACACCTAAATGAGGGCAGGGCTAAAAATCCTAATTAGTAGGGGAATGATAGCAGTTACAAATCCCATTAATTTTCTAAGGACTGAAAAACAAATACAAAAATAGGCATCAGATTACCTAAATCAACAAAGCTTGTGATTAAGAACTCTTCTGGAGCAAAAACCAGATCTCCTGATCCTGGAGAGCATCAATTCAGTCAGTCTTACAGGTCACCGTAAACGTGACCTCCTTTTCAAAGGTTAGGAAACACTCGGACATTATTGATTAATTAAGCAAATAATGTGTTCTGTTAACTGAATTGTGGTCCTTGAGGGTTTAAGATTATTTGTGATTTTTGTCTCTAAATTTATTATTTTGAAAACTGTTGTTTAACTGTTGACAGTTAAATTACACCAATCTTTTAAAATTGATTTCGTGGTTACCTACAGTAAAATCTGCTGGTTTGGAGCAGGTTGGTAACAAAAATTTAAAGCCAAAACCACTTCTAAGTTTAAATAGTATCCTCTTGTGGTCACTTCTGGGCACTACACTTCCTCTCATAAAATATAAGCAGGATAGTAGAAGGAACACTGAACTATTTTTATAACCATGATAGGATCGTTAGGACATGCTCGTTTTCCGCCTGTTCTGATCGGTCATATACAGTACTTCCTTTCAGACAATTCTGCTTTACTACGTTAACACCTGAGCACTTCTTCATTTTAAGGGCTGCTGTAATATAATATTTAAAATATTTTACTGCTGCAAGGATATTAAGATATAGATGATTACAATATATACCTCAGAAATTAAAAAAAACTTTGTCTAAGATCAAAGAATTAGAGAAAATGTTTTCTTTGTTCTTAAGACCTTTCTTTAGATCCCTGAATATCAACTACAATAACTGCATTTAGAGCTATAGTTCTGTGATACAGTGTAAGATATCCATTAGCACTGCTGGATCACAGTACAATGTTTAGACTTAAGTTAAACCTTAAATGAAATAAAAACAATTAAAACTAAGTAGAGCAGCTTCAGTACAGAATGGTTACATCGGGAATCACATATGTAGAAATATTTTCACTATATATCTTCAGGGAGCTATATACAGTGACCTATTTAGATTTTAGATATTAATTGCATGTAATTGAACAGTTATTTTTACATTAATAAATATTTAATGTGTGTATATTTCCCATCTGCACTAAGCAAGTGCATAGTGAGCCAAAATATTGAGCAGCACACTGAAGCTCAATGAGTTAAGACATTTGTATGCACAGCATGCTGTATCCTGCGCTGTGCGGTATGTGAACTCTTGAATTTAGTGTGTAAAATGAACGTGCATTAGCATTACAGATGTTGGATATTAAACAAACTTGTCATTCAAAGTGACAGAGAGTAGTGTAGATAATGACATAATACTGAAGAACTTTCTGCCTTCCAGCTTGTCTTTACCAAGAAGCTAATAATCATCTTTAAAGCAGAGAATATTATTGCCAGATTATGCATGGCTATTCCAGTAGAATAAGTCATAGTGATTAATATTAACATATCAGCCCTCTGCAGCACTAAACCAACGACAGCGAACCTTGAGATCATGATGCGGAGGTTATTTCCTCCAGAAAAAGACTGCATGTAGCAGGACAGGTCCCCTGGTGTTCCTCAGGCTACCCATAACCTGCTGTCATCCTAGTCGTAATGACATCCAAGGACATTTGAAGGGAGCATAATGATTCCCTCGTGTAACATAAAGCAGGGGGTTTCTAAAAATTTCTTCTACATCGTGAAAAAAAAAAGACACAGCAGAATCATATTTTATGCTACCTGGCTTTCACACATTTTTTCTCTCTCCTGGTTTTATGAGTCCATTTTTTTATCTCTTTATAATTCATTGTAAAGCTTTTTTTCAGGACCTTTTATCATAACGTCATCATTATTATTTAATTGTTATCGATAATTAAAATAATTTGGCTTATTGAGTTCGAAGATCTTCTGTATTGGGAGAAACGTGTGGTCGCATTTTTGAGACGATAATACAAGAACAGGGACTGCTGTAAAACTGCTTTCCTTTTTGATACACATCGAGAGCTCACCATTTTTCACGGGTCTGTGTTTAAGATTAGCTTCGCCACCTGAAAAACTTAGAATTGGTTGAGCTAAATTAACACTGTTTTCAAACCGTATAGTACACTTTTTCGATCTATTCAGGATTAGAAGGTTAAAGAGCAGCTCCCAGATCAAGGAAACATATGCTCAAAGTGTAGTTCAATTTACTGTGGCACTGTTCTCCACACTTATCCCTTCCATTACTATCAATAACTGTCAGATACTTACTCATGCTTGCCATTAGCAGGTACATTGCCTAAACAATAATTAATCACTGCGAAGGTTAAACTCTGAGTTTGCTTAGCCATATCGGCTTTTCCATTTGTAATCTGAATTGTACTCTGATTTATCAGGCATTGATTGATTTTTTTATTCTGTATTGTGCGGACACTAAAACGCGAGCCGTCTTTGTAAGATTTAGCTTTATAAAAAGTCCACGATAGAAAGCGAATTGACCTATTTTACACTGCAATCCTTACCTTTGGTGTATGTGTTAAACCTTACAATTAATGCTTGCGATTTTGCATCGTATTACTCAAAATAATAATTTTAACATTATGTGGTGGTCATTTGATGGTTAAGTCATGTTCAAGGTGGTGCTAAGCATCTAGAGCTAAAATACAAAAACTAGTAACGACACTAAAATAATTTTGCCATGATATTGATGTATATGGGAAGGCGAAAACTTGCCACCCCGAATGCTTATTTAAGACAATGCTTTTGCTTTTAAAAAAAAAACATGGTGATTATGGAATGATTTAGTGTCTGCTGCACTATGGCAGGGGGTACTGGGTTGATTGGTAGCTTGAATCTTTAATCACTTCTCTGCGTTTAGCTGCTCTGCGGCTCACGTCTGGAAATGAATGGGTTTGTGCCTTTTCTGGCTCCCCCTCGACTAATAGAAATCATCCATAAAGCTGGCAGTGAAGGATCTCCAGAAATTCCTGCTGACCCCATTACCACAGAAACAGGCGGGAGGATCTGACTGATGCTCAGAACAAAATCGGCAAAAGCACCGACAAACAGAAGGAGTGGAACTCGCGCTTTTCCCCCAAGGATTCCCGAGTGCTTTACAGTACGTGTATTAACAGGGGACTCGCTTCCTTCAGCACTGAAGAGCAGCCCCCCACCTGGGTGATGGGCAACTGTCATTACGTGCCAGCAGCCTCACAACACAGCACATGTTGGAGGCGGAGAAGAGAAGAACCTTCAGCCGCTGAATTAAGTGGAAAGTAAAGCAAGGCTGGATTTTGCAAGTCCCTAGTACAATGTAACCAGGACGCTGGGGTTAACATCATTGCTCTGATGGACAGTTCCACAGAATCTTCAAAAACCAAATAGTCAGTTTAAAGTCTCTTTAGACGTACAGCACTTCCTGCATCACATTATCCCTAGTAGACATATTGGGTTACAATCCAGTGGGAAGACTGCCACCTACTGGTCTACCGACAACACCTACAGCAGCAACCTTAGAGGTTCTGCATCCCGTTTCTGACCAGAACCGGCTTTGCTTTGCTCCTGCTCCTAAAGGGAAGGTCAGTCCTTCGCCCAGTGGAAGAAGATGCCTTCTAATCCACTAACTGAAGGCTGTAAGGTCTTACAGTGTTGTGCCAGGTTTAGTTTGTCAGTGAGTTAAGCTGAACTCAAGACAAGCTCACATCAAGGCGCAGACTTTCCCCTGAATCTTCTTGGCAGCTCAGCATGGCTCGGGAAGCGATTTGAACAGGTTCAGCTCTCGCACAGTGATCAGTCTCACCTCGACCGCGGTCTTCTTCCTCTGGTCTCCCACGGTCTCCGGTCCAGAACTCCCCTGGCCTGCGAAGCACTCTTTACACACGCGGCTGGGTTTGTTCTCCGATATCTTTGTTTCAGAGCATTTCCCACAGATTGCCTGCCGGAGAAAGTGCCCGTATTTTAAAACTCTCTCGAAACCCAAGCATTCCGTATTTGAGTTCAGACCCGATCGGGAGAATTTATCAAACCTTTGTTTTCAGCCTCTAAGTGCTGGTAATGGATAAATGAAACGAAAAGCATATGTACATGAGGTTAGCTCCCTAATCACACAATTTCAGTACAATTTCCTTCTTTCAGTTCAACACGGAAACTTGGAATTTGCTGTTACTAATTTGATTTTGAACTGGCCGTTAAATGACGTCAATAATAGAATAATAGTATTGAATAACAGAAGACACTGTTGACAGAGTAGTCCAGAGAGCACTCTAGTCCTTTGGCCATTTTCAGCAGCAGGATGGGCTACATGTGAGAAGATCCAGTGTAATTAATGTATGAAATGGTTACATAGAACAACAAAAAGTATCAACTGACACTACACTGGAAAAATAAAATAATGCAGTGGGAAAAAAAGGAATCGGATGATGACACTTAGCTTAAGGCTGGTGTCAGTACATTTTTTCCAGCTGTGTAAAGGAAGCATAAGGAACCCCCTGTCTTCCTGACAACACTTTCTCCCTGTTACTCACTGCTCCACAGGCCTTGCAGTGGTGACGCCTTTTAGTTATGGAATGAAAGCTCTCGTTGCAACCTTTACAAGTCTGCTTCTCCTTTTCCTTCTTTGATTTGGAATTTTTCTTGCACAAATCCATCTGCAAGACAAAAAAACAAAACAAAACAACAACATTTAGGGGGCCTTCCCAACCACGAGCAGCCTAGCCTGTGGTTTCTCACAAAACATGCGATGACAGTTTCCTCATCTGTAACCAACCTGCTACTTTGTTAAAGCAGCCACACCTCAGCTGTTCAGCTCCCCCCTCCCTGCTGCGTTCTGGGCTTGATGAGAGTGAGAAGACAATCCGTGAAGCTGGAGGGGACACTGAGCTGCACCTCGTGTCTTCACTGACCAACATCTCCAACGTCTCCTAAACCCGTTTTTCTCAGGGGTATCGGCGTGCGGTTTTTCAGCTAAATCTGATGGGCGTCAAGTTTACCACACGTGCACAGGAGAAGGTAAGAGGTGAAAAATATTATTATACCAGCTCTGGCTGAAGGTATTTCTCCACGTTTCCAGAAACAGCTTGGGTAACATTTCAATTCAATGATGGCTCAAGAATCAAACAATTGTGTTTCTCTTTTCCCCACTTCTCAGTGCGATATCAACCTTTACTTGCTCACTAGCCCAGAAAGCAGGGGTGTGCAGTTCTGCTGCAGTGCTGCCCCACCAGATCCACAACAGCTGGGATGTAGAGGTTAATAAGCACATACTGGAAGGCATTCCTTCTAGTATTTTTTTTTACCTTGTGACAACAAAAATGGAAAAATCAGAGTACAATCAAGCAACTTCTCCCAAGATAAGAGCGGGCAAAAACAAACCTGCTTCATGTTTATTGTTAAGGATTTCATGGGATAGTCAAAACTAATTGAATAGGCACATTCCAGCATGGTTGGTACAGTGTGCTTCCATTGGCGTTAAAGACACGAAGGACATCGCGTGGCTTTACTTTCTTTACTGATCACAGCTTTATAATAACATACAATATAAAAGAATAAAACATTAGGTTCTTACCCCTACTGGTGAGCTGCTTCCATCAAAGGAATCCATACTGATATTACTACAGACACTCTGCAAAACACAGAACACCTATTTGTTAATGGAAACATCTCTAGTATATAAAGAGAGGCACTACAAACTCAACAAATTCTAGTAGTTCCAAAAATCATGTGACAGTTTTTTAATGATGAATTTAAATTAGTTTAATTTAATTTAGTTTTTTTTAATATACAAAACGTCTATCTCATGAATGTCTTTACAGCTTCATGCTGCAATGAGAGGGCTTACACTAGACATTTCTGATCACTAGGTGGCAGACATTACCCAGGAAAACACAAGGGCATTCAGCCACATCGTTCTGGTTAAGTAGGTCAGAAATAGATACAGTATGTGAGATATGTACACTTATTGAATAAACTACCCTGAAAACTCCATATTTAGTTCTGACATCTTCAGGGAAACTCCAAAAAAGTTTTTTTAATTCTGTAACAATGAGGGTTTCCATTCACAAAACCAAACTGTAGCACAATATGCCAACGTTTGGTTGATGGTTTTGAATTTGGACAGTCTTCTGGGGTTTAGTACCATAAGGTGATAGCACAACAAACAGAAGTAGTTTACTAGGAATGAAGAAACTGGACTCAATTCTAGAAAAAAAAATCGATATTTATATGTGAGTTATGAAAGCATACAATTGTATCTGCGCAGGACTGCCCACATCTGCTCACTGCCCCTCAACTTGAGGGAGAAATCAAATTCGGTTTTCTTACGACTGAAACTCAGACTAAAAATCAAAACGTGGGGTTGGCACTTGTACTACTTCATAAGCCCTTACTATCCTAAGGCATTAAAAGAACAGTAAATGAGTATCTGAACCAATAGCATTTGTTGCGTTTTTAATATCTCTCTAATACTTGCAGCGTTAAATCCATTGTCATGTACTGTTCTGTCACATCCTAAAAGACTGCAAAACGCCCAGAGAGACGAAAGCAGTCAAAAGAGCTACAGTGCCATTTCCCCCGCAATATGTCAAGAAGCTTCTATAGCAAGTGGCTCTTGTCATCCAGAAGTCAACACCCAGGGAAAAAAAGCACTTAACCTCCGGAGACTCACAGGGGATTCAGGTGGATGCTCTTCGTCTCTGGAGAAGGAGCTGTTGAACGCTTTATTGAACGTCTCACTGTTCTGCTTGTGCTTTTCTATGGTGGCCATAATAACCTGAAAAGGATGAAAAGCTTTTACGTGAAATAAGCATTTTTGCAACAAGGACTCCCATTATATTCCTTTGGGGTCAGCCTTACGATTTTATTGTCCAGTGTTTCCTGACAGAATAATCCCAAATTACAGGTTGCCAGTAAGAAGCATTACTCTGCTGATCACGAATGGTTGCAAGCTCAGTGGCCTTGGCTAACAAGAGGAAACAGCACTAGAAAGGGAAAACTTTCACTTCCCCAGAACACTTCTGTACAAGAATAAAAAAAATACAGTATTTTTACCGGTTTGACTGTATTTGCTATTGATGCCTTGGACCACAAATCGCTTGCTGCCTTATTTTGATATTAACACAGTTTACAAGTGTTTGCAAGGAAGATTCTTCTACTTCACAGTGTTTCAGAATCTCTGCTGAAATGCCAGTTTGTGCTATTAAATTGTCTGGACCACTAACTGAACAGACAGGTCTAAGTGCCTGGTACAATGAGTACTCACAGACTGTGATTTTGTAAGAAGCTATTCAAAACTAGAAGTTCCAGAAATTACCTTCATACTGTACACAATTTAAAAGAAAACTGAACAGTAAATATGATATTAAATAGGTACAGTGAACTTACTATACCTTTCGAATGTATTGAAATGTCAAAGTCTGACCTAGTAAGTTATCCCTTCACAAGCACACACTGAACAGGAGCAGACGGGGCTGTTTTCTCAATTTGAGCAAATTGAGAATAACTTCTCTAAACTTGTACTGAGTATTAACCTGCTATCTCATGCAGTCCTATATCAGGATATCTGCCTGTGTATCTTAATTATCAACAATAACTGATACAAGATTATTTACCTGAATCCAATCTTTCTTTTCTTCCTCAGTCCTGGTAGATAAAAAAAGGAAACAAGAACATACATAAATACCAAAATTTTGTAACTCTCCTCCATTTGATATTTTTTCTTAAAATCCCATCTGTAGTTCCACAGCAATTCTACCAAAATCCTCTGATCTGAAATCTTAGAAAAATCTCCACCTTCTTTGGACCACTCTGAAAGTCACTGTATGGCAAATTTCATTGACCCTTTTCTTCCCAACTTCCACCCATCCATTGCTTTTCTAACTGCCTCTTCCAATCCAGAGTCAAAGGGGAGCCGGAGCCTGGACAGGACACCAGTCCATCACAGGGCAGACACACCCGGAGGGAACATACAGTACGAGCCTCACACAGGTAGCACCACAGGGATTGCACCCAGGGCCCCGGCACTGCGAGACAGCAATGCTAACCACTGCGTCAATATGCTGCCTCTTTCTGACTTCAATAAAATAAATAAAAAAACCTTCAGTCATATTGAAAAAATAAGCAGTAAGGCATAAATCCACTCTGCTCAGATCTATAATTTGTCCAGACTGGTGTTAACTTCTGAAATAATTAATAGATTTGGACCCAAATTCAACCCCCATTGAACCACATGATTCTTTACCAGAAGATGATTCTGTTCAAGTTAAGGACACTGCATTCAACTACAGTATGTGATATTCAAAGACTCCGGGGCACTGTGAGAGCTTAGGATTTCAACAGAAAAACTTCAGAACTGCTTCTGAGTCCCAGACATAAATGGAAATGGATCTCAGTTCTATTTCCATCATACAGATTTGAAAATATACCCTGTACGGTAAATACAGTATGCACCCTCACAAACTGAAACTGTAACTAAGGAGGAAAATCGATACTATTTGTTTCAGGTGACAGGTTTCTACAACTCTTTGGCTCCATCTCACCCCACCCTTTTCTCACGCTCCCAAATCCTACAAACAATCCGGTTTTTGAGTCTTGGTTTTGCTTGAGGCGGCCACTCCAAGCTTGACAGCCCAAGGAGGCCCCTTTAAATGCAAAACGATCTGTTGTTGCAGTGGAAAACAAGCAATGATCTAATCTCTCAGTCTCACACCCAGCATGTTGGTTCGAGTGACACATCATGCAAGCTTACTTTGCATAATGATATTTCAAAGTGTCACTTGCCTACAAAGCTCACAGCCTCCGACATGTTTTTTATAGCCTTCGAACTGAATCATAGTAGCCAATCTTACCTTGCCTGCAATTCCAGTGATCTCTGTTTCCCAACTATTGCAAATGTATGAGGCAAATTGTGCTTCACCTTTTCTTGCACCTACATATTAAAGAGAAATAAATGGAGGAAAATCTCGTCAGATTTGCAGTTGACAAACAGCTTTTAAAAACTTGGACTCAAATGACCGAGCAAACAAAAGAACAAACCTCCATGCCAGCAATGTCAATCCTTTCTCTAACGCTGAATTTTTGACCCATAAGCCGGAGTTTTGGCACACAGTACAGCACCATATTGTTAAACTACAAGAAGAACACAAAAGTTATGTTAGTCAATGCCACATTTTTTTTTTTATAAATCGCAAAACATGCAGCAAAACCAAAACCAAATTAGAATCAGTAACTTCCAGCCTGGTTTTGTGAAGGATAGAATTATACACTGGAATGTTCCCTGTTGTGAATTTAGATTTAGAGACGTGAAAACTAAGACTTTAGTTTAAGAAAAAATACCATCATAGCACAGCATTATAAAAAATAATTATGAATAAGAAGGCAAGACAAACTATTATTTTTCGTCACATTCCAACTACAGTGCGCAAATAAAAACTATTACAGTGGGTGTTGCTATAGACCTACTTTAATCAAAGAAAAGACAGGCATGCAGATTAAAAGAAACTTTAAAAGGATGTCTTTAGCAGGAACAGGTAAGGGCAGTTCCTTTCTTAAAAACCGTCAGGGCCTGAAATTTACCACAGATTTGCATGCCACCCACAAGACAGACTGTCAGTCTTAGTCTGGTGGAACAGAGCTGTTTATCACAAAACACCTCTGTGTTATAAAAACAAAGTCCAAAGCCCCTTTTCTGAAAAAAAGTTGCAATGTGCAAAGCTAGCTATAAGCCCTGTTCAGTCAAAAAACACAGAACAATCTTCAGAAAAATTAAGTCTAGTAGAATATTATTATAGTATAATATAATAATATATTTAATGTATTTTCTCCTCAATTTCTAACCTTTCTTTTTCCCAAGCAAATTACTTACTCAAGGAAATTCATATACTGCAACAACAATATTCAATTCATTGCATGAGAAGATGCAGAGTACTGCAAGTCTGTAACAAAACAGTCTCCTTTCAAGGCGATTTCTTGGTTATTTAAAAAGTGTTCAACAAACATAAGAATTTCTATGGAAGTGTGTTTCCTTAAAACTGCTGTCTATTTGTTTTACAGTGCTGTACTTTAAAAAAAATCACTATTGTGGTACAGATAAACTACTTATCTGAAAAAAAGACTTACCACATATAAATATCTGTCCTGAGCAGTTCCATTCTTGGCAGACATTTTCTTGATATGACCTTCTTTGATAAGCTCATTGGCAGGATTAACAATATCTTCCTCACCTCCAAGTCTCTCGTAGACTTCCAGAAGCTTGTGCATCTTTTCCTGACCACACATGAATTACACCCAGAATGACATCTTCTTTATTCACTATTAGGTTCCATACTGTATATTAAATCACAACTGAAAAATCTTTATTTGAAATTCAACCATGTAAGTTGAATTATTTCACTGATATCTCACTCAAGATGCTCCAGTGTTCATTATTGATTAAGTTAATATTTATCCCACCTTGATGGTGTTTCCAAGAGGCCCAAACATGTTCTGGTAGCACCATCTGTGGGCCCTTTCCCAGAACTGTTTTCAAATTCAATTATTTTGCAGTGCAATTCAAGCACCTTAAGAAATTTTACCGGTCTATTCTAGAACAACCTACAAGTAGTGGTAAAAAAGCATTATTTCACAGCTAGTAAACCGCTCACATACAATGTGGTGTGCAAAATCCAATAAATCAAAAACAACAAATGTAGATCATTTCAAAGTTTGTTGAGTTACATTATTACAGTATATTACCTAATACTGAACAAGTACCAGATGCTTTTGACAAGAAATGTACTGTAAGAGTCTTGCTCGTTGCCCACAGAATACCTCATTAAGACAGAATGCAGTTTAACAGGGAGAGAAATGTACAGAAAATGTACATACAGCACAAAACAAAGCTAGTGGATAAAATATGAGCAGGAATCATGATTTCAAACTACAAAGAGGGGGATGTCTGGATTAACATTTTAAAAATAGTTCAAGGCTTTCAAAATATTAGAGAGACGCATTTCTGAAATAGTCTGCTGTGGCAGATTAACTCATTTGAGAGTAAACTAGGTCCTGCAAGTTGAGACTGGCATCCCATTTTGCATTGTCTCAAACAGGAAATGGCACTTCCTGCAATGAGACTTCTGTGCAGTTACAGTGTGAAGAGGAACTCGGGCCTTGATACTGTTTGAAAGCAGTTGATGTGATCTGGCTGCTCTGTTTATATGAATTAGTGATGACAATAGTAAAGGTAGAATAGCAATAAACCCCTATTGTACTGAGGAAATCTGCATTATCCCATATGTTTATCTCACAAAATGCAGCAATGGAACAAGCTGAAAGTAAAGTAAGAAGGAAGGCCATGCTGAGTTTAGTCCTGCTTTTAGAATCTTTTAGGACATTAACAAAAAACCTCTCAAGAAAAGAGTCACGAAAGAGGCACTGCAATGAATGTTCACTGAACAAATGCTCACTTACCATTTTTCTGATAGCCGCATTTGAATGGTTGGCTGCTGTAGAGATAAGCTCCAGTGATTCTGCAAATTGTCAGAATATGTACCCATTAGAGAAGATTCGGGGGAAAAAAAATCAAACAACCTCTGAGCTGTAGGAAATCAAATATGTGGTTAGATGAAAGAGACTCTATGGGGCTTTGAAGCTAAGGACTTTTCCCAATATTGTCTGAGAACGATGAAGAACAATAATGTCTACAGTTTGCAACAGTTTCACCATCAGCTTGCCATTAAGCACCACACACTTTTCCACAAGACTAGTAGAAAAGGTTTTGAAAAAACATGACTGATTTGTCCCAAGACATCACTATAGAAATGATTGCAATGTCTGAGAGGACAATTTCAATGTAAATTTAAAGTGAAACTGTTGTTGTTGAGTTTCAAGTCGTTTATAAGAGGCCACCACAGACAAAGCTTAAAATATTAAAATATGCTAGGTTATTTTCAACCTCCAAGACAGTGAGCTAGCTGCTGAATCTGAGGTTTGGTTCTATATTCACAGCAAGACCGGAAATCTACACAGAATTAAAAGTATACGCTAAACAAAAATTGCCGCTTGTAGTTCTAGACCAGTCATGCTGTATCTCATACCAAACCAATACAGAGAGATTACTATTTTATTATCTTTTGTTAAAAGACACACATTTTGTATCTTCACTTGCAGTAAAAATGAAATTAGCATCCTTCAGCTAGTGAAACCACAACTACATTCTGAAAATTGACAAAGATAAATTACAGATCATGTATTCCTTGTATGCTCACCATTTAATTACAGTAGTTCAGTAAGAATCATGTTTTGTTATATATTTATATACTGTATATATAAATAGTTATATATACTGTATGTTTTGTTCTTCATTCAACAATACAGAGTGTAGTTGTGAATATCAGAACTGAGAGCTGTGTCATTGATAATTTTGTGAATTAGCCTGGCAAACAAAAGACAAAACTTGTGAGAACGCAGCATTTCACTTGAAAATGTTACTACTACTGATGAGGCAGAAATGCCATGCATTGCGTTACAATGCAATCTAAATTGTTTCAGCATATGGTGTGAGTACATGCTGTATGTATCTGTTGATTTCAGGGATAAGCTTGGGTTTAAGCTGAAACAACCCACACTGAGCTGCACTCTTACTGCACACATTTTGGGGAAGTGCAACACGAGCAGTTTGCAGAACCATGTAACAGGTAAGTGGAACACAGAAACCGGCAAACAGCTTTTAAAAGAAAAAGCCTTATAATTTAGTTTCAATGTTCCTAATTATGCTTCTCTGTCATAGCCATTCAGAAAGTAAACTGTCATCTATTTTATTTCTTCATAGTTTGGCTCACCTTGTTGAAGTTATTGGGCTTTTATTACTCTTATGGGTCTATTGCCACATCAAATTCAACAGAGACATCGTAAAAAGACACTAAATGAGGGCCAAATCCAGAGATCGCCGTCAGGAACGGTTTCACCGAACGGCAGTACGGATGTGCGCGGGGCCTCGTCCGCAGGTGATGGGGAAAAAGAGACGAAACGAAAAAAGGGGCGGTGCTCACTCTCTGCGTCTTTCCTGTCCAGTGCATCCTCGGGCAGCTTCTTCAGGTAGTCCTTGAGCAGCAGCTCGTACCGTGGGATTCTCTGCACAGGCTCCAACATGTGATGCTGCAGTGTCAGGTTCCCACACACTTCCTGTTTCTACGAGTGAGCAAGAGAGATAGCCATCAGAGCTCACGGGCCCTCCTCATAGGACAGCCTGGATACCCCACCCCTGACAGCACCACGGAGGACTGCAAGCTCTACCCTAGATACAGAAAAATTCAAATGTCACCATGTGTCTTGCGATTCATCTTCTGGGAGTACCTGATCTTTAATCAAATAGGCTTAACTCCCCATTACACTGATGATGTATACATATTTTTCTACTGTACACATATAAGGTGGGCAAGAGCATCTCACACCAACACGTAACTTCTTAGAAAAGAGGGTGTAGTCATTTATTATTATAAAATTTGCCACCCCCAGCCTTACACTTATGTTAGAGTGACGTGACTGGGGAACCTACAGGAAATGTTTTTCAGATTTTGGAATGGCTCTTTCAAATATATCAAAGTCATTTCCAGGAAAAGATCGTGAGACTGTGTACGAGCTAGCGGGGCAGGGTAGGTAGAAATTGGACAGGACCCTCTTATCTTTCAGCAAAATAGCAAAGTGACTTCAGTGACCTGCCAGATGTCAGCAGGCATGCAGACACCTTGCTTCAACAGCTGAAAAGGGCTCGCCTATAAGGCGCTGTGGAGTTTTCAGTATGTCAAAAGGTGAATGGCTCTCATAGGTGGTCTTCATTCTTCCCAGACAGCACAGGAGTCAGTATTCAACTGTTTGCAATTTCAAATTGAGTGGGTATATAAGGGAAGAATGTGTGAATCCAGTGTAATAAAAAGAAAACAAAATGAATCTCCACACCAGAGCTGCCAACTTGCGAAAGCAGTGAGTCAGTAATGAGCACTGGCTTTGAGCAGGCTTACCAGGTGCAAATGAAGCAGGAGCGTTTTGATTCACATTTTTGCGCAAGATCATAGCGAGTGTACAAGTACTGCATAATTTCACAGGCCCCACTGTTTATTAAAATAATGAAGCTAATGCTAAATAAGCTGTTAATCAGGAAAGCTGGCAGCCGCAAGATATTTTGAAAACACTGAAAAAAACTATGGCAGAAAACATTATTTGCGTCTGTATTGCTGAATTAATGCGAAAAGGATGCAGGGACTATTGTGCGCTTTTTCACAACCCACTGGAATTAAAACCCTTTAGTGAACTGACAAGGAATATACCCATTTGTTTTAGAAAAGTTACCACTGGAAAGCCAGAAGACTAGCGAACAGTGACGGAAAAAAGATTGTATACCCCTGACTTAATAAGGGGTGTGACTTCACAAACCAAAGGACTGAGATGGTGTGATCAGACTACAGCGAGATAGAAGATACAGTAGGTGACTCACCCACAAGGGTAACACAAAAACACTCAGAACTGACACTTACCTGTATGTGCTGAATGACACCCTTGAACTGAGAGGAACGCTGTGTCCAGGTGTTTACAAGATCCATCGCGCGATCAAAATTCTTCACATACTCTCCATACATCTTCAGGAACGGAGCTAGTTTCTGAAGGATGTCTCCGATCCGAGGGTTGGAATTCCTTTGGAAAAAGAAGGGCAGCGAAATGCAGCAATAACTCTTGACCAGTAACCCGCTCTCCTATAAAAAAATCCTTTCTAACTAAAAACAGCCTTACGATGTTTCACTGTCGTATTAATTCCAAGTAGTAAAATTTCATTTTTGCTGCCAATGTAAACATCCTTTTTTCAAACCCAGTTTTACCACAATTTGAATTTCAAAGATATGTTATTTCATCGGTACAATACAATACAACACTGAAAAAATCCCTTTTCAGACCACCTATGGATACAATTTCTTAATTATTCCTTATTTAAAAAAAAAGACAAATTGTTGCCACATGTAACTGGTGGGGATATCCAACAGAATTAAAACTAATGAATTTCACACATTGCAGCCATCTATTTTACAGGTATTTAATTGAATTAAACTGTGTGTTATCAGCTCAAACGCACACTCAAGATGTTTCTCTCAGGAGAAAAGAGTCTTTTATATACATTTTCCACAAAAAAAGAGGATAATGTCAAGGACATTAATCACGTAATCATTGTCAAAACATTATACGAATTAATGATTCTTTAATCATAAATCTCTTACAGCTCATTAGCTCATTTTAAACCCTTCAGTTAAAACGGATTCGGGGGTGGTTTGCTAAGACACTTATAGAGGTCACTAGTAACACATCGAGATGTTAACTGCCTTGTGAATAAAACATTGAAGCTCAGATTCCAAACTGTATAATACATGGTAATCAAGGTCACTGATAGCACAGCTATCACTCCAAACAGGGGCTGTGTCCTGTCTCTTGAGTTGTCTGCATCTAAGACGCTATAGGAACTCGATTTCAGCCAAACAAAGACGATGAGAGGGGAGTGCCTTCACAAACAAGTGCCATTCTGGGTCATCTGGAAGTAACCAAATCTGCCTAACAGAGTAGGTTCACTAGCTTAGTGATAGCATCTTATTTTTCTTAGTTTGTTTAGGTTAGCTTTTGTTTTTAATTACCTGTATATAAAAACACATCATTTTTATATTTTTAACTGTTCAAAAAATACTGCAAGATAACCATGTTGTCTTACAGCGATGCTGGTAATACTGCTGGCCAACATAACATTTCTGGTAGAAAGAGCATTGTTCAACACAAGAACATAAGCAAGAACGATTACAAACCTTAGGAGGCCATTCTGCCCATCTAACTCATTTGTTTAATGGTAGCTAATTAATCTGATCCGGCTTTTTCTTGAGGGAAGCCAAGATATCAGTTTCAACAGTGTGGCTGGGCCACCTGCTCTGGATATCCTCACCCCTAAGAGTCTGTTTATTGTGTAGATACAGTAGCAGAGCTGAGAGGTTTGGTTTTTACACAGACATGCACCCCTGAACTGCAGCGCCCTTACTCACCATTCCTCGGTGATTCGGGTCTTCAGCTCAGGGAGGAGAAACTGCTTATGAAAGCAAAAAATTGACGATATATTGGAGAAGATTCCAGTGATCACCTCTGGAGGAATTCCAGCTTCTGTTAATTTAGTGCAAAATACCTAAAATCACAGAAAATTAAATAGTGGGAGATTATCAGAACATAGGAATCTCCAGCACAGACAAACAGAACACAGCACAACACAACAACTTAACACAACATGAGCCTCTCTCTTGGTTATTTTTTATCTTTGGTGTTGTTTTTTTTTCCTGAGAAGCTCTATAATTCAGCTCTGTCCGGTGACCACATTAAAGTTGTTATCGCTTTCACCAGAAGTTGCAAAATTCCCAATCAAACCTATCTCTGTGCTTATTGATATAATAAAATAATATCAAAGCAGATAATCTTCCACAGCACCATTTCAACAGGGTGTTTGGGACACTCTGCCCAGTAATTCTCAGAACAGATGAATAACATCAGTGTGTTCATTACTGTGTCTTCCCAAGTTAATTTCACTGGGTGTTTTGTCACTCAGCCTTTGGAAGTTGAGGGCTCCAACAGTAATGGAGATACCTGGTCCAGTAAATGGAGCCTCTTCACATATGCTTCCTCCGTCTGTAGGAGTTCTCTTGCAATGTTCAGCAACTTTTGTGGCTCTGTGCACTAGAAAATGAAAGAAAACGATTGAGAAACAAATGCATGTTCATTCTGTCGTCCAGCAGATTGAGGAACACTGATGAGAGTTTCAGGCTGCACATTATCATCCAGTCGCTGAGCTAATATCTTGAGGGACATGTTGAGATATCACACTGATGACGACTTCTTCTAGGTCAGAGAAATCTGAAAAAGCAGGTCTTTACTATAGCACATAACACACTGTGTTTTTTTTAAGCTTCCTTAATGCTCTGGAATTTTTTGTTCTTTTATCAATCTGTCTACAGATCGTAGGTCTCTAACTATAGGCCACGTGCTACATAAGCTTTCTCTACCAGCTTGTAAAGGAATAAAATTAACAATCAATAAAAGGTGATCTTACTTTTCAACCTCGAAGACTGTGAACTTTTTCAATGTTTTCATGGAAAACGTAAATCTAGCTGCTGTATATCTTTTTTTCCCCAAAAAAACCCTAAAGACCAAATTGATAATGTTTCTGACAGACATGGGTTTACACTGAGTGTTTCATTCTGAATGTATTGGTTCAGTTATCCACAAGCTTGTTAAAACAGATAAATCCTCTATGTAGTATGACAAATTGCCAAGATGGTGTCTTAGGCCAATACAGTAAACCAAACATATACGTTTGTGTATGTACTGTACACATTTTCTTGAAATATATCACATACATTCATAGATATCAAAATGATGCTGGATAGTTGATATAAATTAAACAAACGTAAGCTCAGAACATGTTAATTAAAGAAGTCATCCCCAATATGTATACCTCATTGGTCAATTAAAATGAAAATCCTACAGGTTTATACTTTAAATCATAATTGTGTGGAACAGACAGACTCTGGGGCTGTAGACAGCTATTACTCAATACCCACTTGATATTCAATGAATAGATCTGAAGCAATTGATTGTTTTACTGAACTGTTAACAATCCCTTTTATTTTGCAGATTATGGTAGAACTAACAGATTTTTTTATTAGCGAAAGAAACTGAAACAGCTGTCAGAAAGGCATGACCTGTTTAACTATGCCAGGCCACAAAGGCAGACAAGAGGCCAACTACGTCAGCCAAGGAGGAAATGGGAGGAAATGCAAGATGAAGCCCTCTTTCAGATTAAACTTTGCAAGGGTGAAAGCTGAGGACTGGCTTCCTGATAATACCTAACCCTGTGACAGAAGCATAGACAGAAGCAAACACGATAACTTCTTCTTTGTAATGTTATGAGGCACGGAGTCCGAACCACATCCTGTCTGAGATGCCAACTAGAAAAAATAATCATCTGACATCACATCATGCTTACAAATGTACTTGAATGGACTAACAGGCATTGGGGGCAAGGATCACACTCTATAACCCCCACCGCCCTGTTCTTGCTGTGAGATCCAGAAGAGGCAGATTAGAAGGAAAACCAGATTTTCAACACACAGCATAACAGATACAAACACAGACTGCAAGGATGAGGTGGGTGCAAAATAAATCACCTTTCACTGGACCTTGGGTGTGCTCTTATGTTGAGGCCATTGTTAAACACAACGATAAATCCTCATTTAAATTCACAAACCATTCACAACTAAAAAAACATTCAATAACGGAGACAAAAATCCTTCTAACAGCGGCTTATAAAGTATAGAGATAAAGATCATTGGTAACACTTATTTTTTTATTGTCATGTTTTGCATTGACAATGTACTGCTTTCCTACACTGAGCAAAATTACTCTGGCAAGTGTTAATGAATGCTCAAAGTCTGTTTCTGGTCATTCCACATAGCACTCTTAATTAAATCTACAATCTTGCAATACAAACAAAGTGCACTTGGGAATATGATTCTGTCCAACCTGGGCTATTTGGCAGAAAGATAAATTAAAAGGACAAAACCATCCTGAACATCAATTGTAAATCAGAATGAGGAACCACATTTTTTTTTGTTGCTTTGCTAGAGGTGGAAAGAACATTTCAGTTAGTCCAAAAGCATGACTTGCTTTAAATAAATCCTATGTAAATACATTTGAAAGCCTTTTTTTATTCCAAATCAAACCTATAGACAATGCATGCTCAGAACATATCCCATCCCTACAAAGCTTATATGCCAAATATACTCAGACTTCTAACAACCTGTACAGCAGACTTGGGCATTGTAGATAAATGGTGATTACACAAAGGGATATTGAAATCTGTCACATTTTCAACGTGATCCAATTCCTCATGGTTCACTGCAAGAGTCTTCAACCATAACCACATCACATCTACTCATTCACGTGACACAGCTCTTCAGGAGGAGTGTTTCTTTAATACAAAGACTATTCTGAAGTCAACAATTTGCATTGGGGGCCCTGGGAATTTCAGATTGTCAGCGACTGACAAATTTGAACAATGCATGAAGCCTCATTTAATAGTCTTTTTTATATACCACCGTACGATGGAAAGAATTCTAAAACTTGTTGATGGAAATCAGGCCTGTTGTTGCTCGTTTATTGCTTACGAATTCCACAGCACCAGGTTCACAGCAAGTGTTAGGTGAACAATGAGCTGTAAAAGCCACATCAATTTGGGACTAAGAGTGCCTGCACAGTGATGTGCAGGGTATCCTGGGCACAGCTGAAGTGTTCGAGCTGATCTCTGTGCAGGGTGGTACAATGTACCAAACACCAAAACACTGTATCTGCATTCTACATTCCAGAGAATACTCCATTCTTTTGAATCCTAAGAGTTATCTTTGCATAAAACCAAATAAATAAACAAATTGGATGGGACATAAGCTGATATGTACATGACGATCATCCAACAATACTATACATTAATATGTGTAGTGCTTTATTAAGACTTCAAGATACTTAAGAAAGGTTACAAAACCAGAGGAGACCATTTGGCCCATCACACCTTTGCTAGTTAGTAGATGATTGACACCAGGATCTCAACCAGCTGTTTTTGGAAAGAAGCCAGGATATACAGTAGGTTTCAACTTGGTAGCTTGTTCCAGACTTCAAAAAGCTACTTTGTAAAGTTACTCTAGAACTTATTAATAAGCCCTGGATTAAAAAAGTGTGAAATATGAATAAAACATCCTTAACCAACATCCTTATTTTGAAAGGCTGGGACCTGCCACCCACGTTCTCAGCAAGTCTTACCTTAGATGTGTCTGGCTGCTCTGTTTTTGGCACTTCTGCTGTTTCGTGTTCCTCACTACTGCCCTCGTCCATGTCGCTGTCCTCCTCGTCCTGAGTGGAGTCTCTCTTGTGGTTGTCCACGGACGAAGCACAGCTCTCCTTCGCCCCACTCTCCATCTCGGCCTCTGTTTCATGCTCCGCGAGACTCTCGCTCATCTCCTCATCGATGGCCTCCTCGTTCGGAAACCCCTCTCCTTCCACGTTACAGGAGGGGCTGTCGATGCCGCTGTCCCTGTTGGGAATTTTGCCATTTCCGTTGTGCTCCAAGGCAGAGTCTCGATTGTCACATGCACGTGAGTCCTCAGTCCGGCCAGCGGAGGAACAGTCCCCGTCGGTTTTTAATTCGCACGTGCCTAAATCGCCGATCTGCAGCTCGCTGAAACTCGAGAGCTCAGCGACATCGGACTTTGTTTCCGAAACGTTAAGTGCAAGTTTATCTGCCGTGGAACAGTTACCAGACCCCTGTCGATCAGATTCTGTACCCAGCTGGTCCGTTGACTCCTGGGGAGTATCCATGTTAAAAGAGAGATGTAGTTGGGTTCTCCTATTAATTCCAAAAATAGGAATTCTGAAACGAAAATAGATCCTACTCAATAGCAAAGTATATACTGATCTTTAAAGAACAAAATAACCAAACAAAAGGTTGGGAAAATGTGGTAAATGAAAGTAGGCCATTTGACCCGTTTGTTAGAAGCAAGCAAAAAAAAAATGCTGTCAGTGGTTTTGATATTTAGGCTTACCTACTTGGGCAGGAAAAAAAGCAATATCTGTTTCAGTGTACTGAGTTTTTAAGTTTTAGACTATACAGTAATTATTTACACTAGCTGAACAGTCCCTTATATTGTCTGTTCCCAATGATGAGATTCTCACGCCTCTACAGGTGTGCATAATTTCACTAAAGCACCTTCTCCATTTTTATTATTGAAAAGTATTGTCCATTTTTAACATTACCTTCTGTGTTTGTAGATAACAATGAGAGGGAAAGCGTGTGTGTTTACCACACAATTTCATTTAACTTCCACGAGCACAAACAAAAAACCAACACAAAGCATTTTTCTCCTGTAGAAAATCTGCTCTATAAATTCTCTCTCAGAATTGTAAATGTTCTCAAAAGTCTATTTAAGAGAAAACAACTTTAGTTTTGATATTAATATCTATTTTTGTCTCCAGCTTAACTGACCCCTTTATATTTTCAGAAACACTTTAGTCAAATAAAGATGAAAGACTGTTCTGCATCAAAAAACGTCAAAGGCCCCTCTGGAAATCATTAGAGCAACTATTCAGAATTAACATTTGTAATTTGAAAGAGGAAACAAATGGTTAGCTCTAGATTAATGGCAACAATCTAAAATTAATCAAATACAAAAGAAAAGCACCTAATTCTCATCTAAACACAGAGGTAATTAAGAACATTCTTTAAATTAGCTTTTGTAAAAGAACCGTGTTTTTAAACAAAGCAAACGGCATTACCTGGAGTTTTCAAACTTCTCAATGAGTAAGCAAACACTCTTTACTGGTTTGTTTTCCTCCTTCCCTGCAGAGACAGGGCTCTTGCTTGGCTTCGGCAGAGGTTTGGAGGGCAGGGGTCTGGATGGAGGTGGTGGGATGAACTTGGGTCTTCTTTCCTGACCAAAACTCTGCAGGTGAACGGGCTTAGGAGGCACTAGAAAGACAAAATATTGCACAGCATCCTTTACCGCCGAAGTCAAGATGTCCCAATGCTTCACTCGCCACCCAGGGACGAAGATTCCATCTTTCCAGATCCTCAGAACAGCACTATTCCAACAGAGATGTATTAAATACAGAGAATTTCAAACAAAATACAGAAAAATGTGCAGCTGTAGAAAATTATGACCTGCGAACACCAAATGCAGACTGCTTCTTCCTTGTTCCTAAACAGGATGCTGCAATGTGTGCTGTAAGTCAATGTGGTTTGCGCGCACACACAGACACAGATACACACACGCAAGAGACGCATCGCAAGAAGTCATGGCATTGCATTATTTGTCTCTGCGGCCAAAAAGTCTTAACCCCGAAACGCGCCGTGGTACGAGAAGCTGAGAAAAGAGGGACAAGGAAATTCCTTGCACCTGTGAAACAGTTCGGAAGAGAAAATATTTTAAAAAAAGATCGTTTTCAGGAACTAGCTCACATAAATGACAATAAAGCTTTCACTGTGGTTCTTTCTGCCATTTCCTTCCTCTTTGGCTGTTCTACTGAAAAAAAAAAATTATATATAGTAGAGTTATAATTTACTCAGGTTCATGCTATGGGTTTTAGAAACTCGTCCAGCTAATTGGTCAATGATTCTTTTCCTCTATCTAAAATCTTATATATATATTTATATTCTATGCGATTATTTGGAAATATACACTGTGCCACCCCCCAAAAAAAAATTAAAAACATCTACGTAAGCAGTACCCATGACAACGTATTTACAATTTTGCGGAAGTCCACACAGGGAAGAGAACTTTGTTTAGATGATGTGAAAATACTGAGTGTTTACCAACCCACACATTCAGAAAAGTTGACAGGTGGTTAGGGGATCTTAAAATAATTTTCACACAATTCCAGCATTAACCAACACTATGCACTGTGTAGCCCTATTCAAAAACAATGTCCGGATCAGTCAAAGCATGAATGAAATAAAATAAAATATGCTTTTGTTTAATGTTACATTTGTTTTTTTAAGAACATATGCTTGAAAAGCAGGTTTTAAGCACGCAGAGACGCTGTAGTTTTTGCTTAACAGGAAGCAAACTGAGTTCTTAATGACTTCCACAGTCACCCTGGAGGATGGCTTCATACATTGTCGTTTCCATGGTGATGTGAGGATCATGTTGGAGCAGACGGGGAGACTCTAATTATATTCTGCTTTGCACACATAGACTTCTTCCCCCTCAGTAGGACATGCACTACTAGTTTTCCTTTATTCATTCTGGCAATATGCGTGGCAAAAAGCCAGACACATGACAAACATCATTTACACAAGACTGGTGTTAAATGACGTTTCCAATAAGAATTGAACGGTTGACTAAAATAGTTTGCCACCCTTCTACCGGCAATAAAGAAGCTGACTTTCCATTCGAGACCCAAAATGGTTCAGAACTCACAACACCCCATTTACAAAGGAGTCCGCAAAGGCAATAGTTGTGTAGGCACACCAGGAATGTGGGCAACGGAACAGGATTTTCCAAGTAGGTTTGAGTTTAGTGGGACACAAGAGGGGGGAAGTGTTTGAAAACGAGCCGTACCTTGGGGTTTTTGTGCAGGCGGGTTCTTGGCTGCAGCAGTGCTGGAGATGAGGTCCTTCCCTGATTTCTGCACACATGGCCTGGCAGGGGGCGGATACAAGGCCCCTTTAACCTCCAACAGTGAACGTGAGTCAGCAGAGCCACATTTAATCTGCAGTGCTGCAGGAGAGCAACCTGGAAATACAAACAGTCTATTACTAGTTCATTCTAGGCACAGTTTCTGTACGCATGAAAAAGACAATGATTTTGAAAGTTATATTATACTTATTTGAAGAACGTCAAAGGTATGGCTACCATCCATATAACATATTCACCTCATTTGAGTTGCTTATGTAGGAAGGCTATTCAGAAGAGCACTCTCTTTTTTTGCAATGTCTTTTGACAGTTCTGCAATTATTCATGAGAATTTAAGAGAGCTGATGTTAATATTTTCTCTAGCCAAGTCATACTGAAACTCTGAAAAAAATTAATAAATTATAAAAAGCTTTCTTCTATCATCATATTGTATTAGATCTCAAAGTATATTTCTGAGAATTGTAATCGATACTTTTTACTAGGTCTGCAATGCTGTTTTTAGTATTTTTGCATGCTTATGCATTGTCGGAATCAGATTTTGGCAAAAACTCTCCTCACAACGTAGCAGTTTTTGTGATATTCTTGCTAACTTGGAAAGCATCAAACACATACTGTATTGCAGCTGACACACACAAGACTGACTGTGCAGCACAAAGTCCTGACACTGAAGTGAAGAACAAAACTTAAGTTAAGTAGTAGAAAACACAAAGCCATTGATACAAACTATTTTAAAACATTTTTCACCATTGTAGAGTTAAAAGAATAATTACATTACAATAATGAGCTATATGGATATATCTGAATATTAACATTAAGAGACATTAAATAATTAAGAAAATGGAGTTAATGCCTGCTTGTGGAGTGGAAAAAAAAAAACTTTTACACACCATAAACCCCAGAGATTTTGGCATAATGTCAAGCACCATATTATCAGCATCAGTAGTTTCTTAAAAGACTGAGCGAGTAATCTTTACAAATACACTCGTTTCTAAAAATGCTGCAGTCGTTTTCCAGATAAGAGCAAGGAAACATGAATGCGATCGATAGTGTAGCCAACACTGAAGGAGTTGCCTGCAGTAATGATTTTTTAAAAGCTTCCCTGAGCTCTATGCATTTAAAGCTTTTTCTAGACACAATTGTACTGTCAGATAGGACAAATTATGTGATTCAGTTTACTTTGGCACTAAACAGAAGTTTGATATCTACAGTAAGATGTGAAAGAGAAGACAGTAAGTAATTTTAAACATTTTATTGGAAAATTCAGACTGTATCATATTCTAACACATTATAACACATTTAGGTCATTAAAATGAACTGGTTAACCTGCTTGTAAACGAATGGCCTCTTAAATAATCACATAAAGGAAAAGTGCAGAACACTGAAGGAGTAATGCATTTGAACCGTATGTGATGTAAACATGGCTGTGTTACAAGAAAATAGGTCAGACAAATGCTCTGTGGTTTGGATAAATCAAGTAGTAAGTATGTCACATTTTTAAATGATCTTTTGTAGCTCTTTTTGTATTTTTCATTTGTGGTGCATGCGCCACTGTGTTCTGTTTCACAGCAACAATTTCCATCTGGCACACCCCTTGTGTGAGACATATTTACTGCAGTTATGTGATCCGTAAATGCAGAAAAGGTTGAATTAATAAATAATTTAAGAACCCTATCCAGGGTGTATTTTTTGGGAAAACTCAGAATCAGATCAAATTGTACGGGAATCATGATAAGTACAAGGTTATTTAATATATCTATAGATTCCTATCTATCGGCACTTTAAAATCCAAAGTTATCATTTCTGCATTAAGAAATATTAAGAAATATTTCAGAATAAGCTGCCATGGAGAAACGCAGGGAACACACAGCTGTATGCAAATACAGATCACAAACACTGAATAGGGAAATAAGTGTAGTAAAGTTTTCACGAGAGCCTTATACCTTAACCCAGCTCTGTGCAAATGTATATTGTTTCACCAACGGTTATTCAAATGTTCAAGTCCACTATAAATATTTTCTGCTAATCAGTAGCACTGCAGGATAATACTTCCTTTTTGAGAATCAACACCACTGCAGGAAAACACTATTAAAACGAAAAGCAAATAATTTAATTAAAGACATGAGAAAGAAGTTTTAGTATACCAAATAAGAAAAAAAAAATCACTCAATGCAGTCTGTATTCAATCATTTCAAGGACTTCTACAGCTAAATTGAAAGTGAAATCTAGCCTTCAAAAAAATGTAGTAAACAGGGATTGTATTCGTTAACACTTACAGTACACAACTTAACTGCAAGGTTTTTCAATTGATGCCTGCTCAGCCAAATAAAACCATATAATCTAAAACTAAAAGTCTCCATTATTATTTATAAAGGATTTGTCTAAGCTTTACAGAAAAAGAAAACATTCATGCAGGTTCTTTAGGCAAAATTAATGAGCTCCACTGATAAATACCCACTTGCCAAGTTTGCTTAAATATCTCACAGACAGTTATTATTTTTTTCTTTCAATGAAATAGATTGGCAATCCCATACTTGTTAATAAATAATAAGTAATGCTTATCATTTCAGCTGCATTGGAAAAACCATAAACCTGCATACAACTGTATTCCTTATATTTTTAGCACATAGATTCTGGCATATCTGCTGCAAAGTTTTTTGAGAATCATGCATGGCATAAACATGCACAGGTTAACAACAGAATGTTCATGAGAAATGAAAATTAATGAAAAGTAGAAAGAACAACATTTCACAAATCTTCTTTTTCTCTGCTTCTCAGTGTGGAATTAACCTCTACTTGTTCCTTTCCAACCTGCACACTTACAGTACATTGCTCCTCCTTTGAGCCTACAGTATGTTGTCAAACAATTAATTCAGTTCTTATTAGGGAATACTGAAGTTTAAAAATAAACATACGTTTGATCAAATACAATATTAGTTTTGCATAACACCTGAATAAATGTTCTTTTCCAAGATTAGATCTTGATATACAGAAAAGTAATAACCCAACTGAATATTTAAAGAACACGCAATACATAATTATTGAATGTTTCTGCTTGCACCATTACAACTTCACTTCTATGTTTTGGTTTCAAACATCTCTTTTTCTCACGGTACTCAAGCTCCATACAAACAGTTCTCAATAAATGTGGTAGTTAAGATATTGTTATTTTCCAGTAGGGAGACGGAGTATTCTGACAACCAAAAGGCGAATCCACCCTATTTTGATAACGCGTGATTACACAAATCAACTTCAAGAAGCACAGAAGAATGTCACTTACACCTTGCAGCACGTTGCCCAGTTTGTATTAAAGTGTTTAGAGTGTGAAGAGATCCATCCCTCCTGCCTTGTGATGTCCCAAAATGACACGTCAAAGCTCCATTCTACCATCTACAACACCCTGCTGGGACTATGGCCCTTTCCTTTTCCTTATTCGCCACCTGCATTGCACACACTTCCATAACCACAGTTGCCAAGGAAGCAAAATAATCACCTCCATACTTGCCAAACCTGCTCTGCAAACCCGGTCCTGAACTTCTGGAGTCAACAGACATCACTGTAATGGGAACTGTGAATACCTTTGTGCAGTAAAAGGCTATCAAAAATCCCATTCAGCACTTGACTGTGTTTCCAATAGGCTCCCTATTATCAGAACATTAATTAATACAGTGATCTGTGAGACAAGCAGAGGGACACAGAGGAATGTGTATAAAGTATGTACAGTACAACATTAGAGTAACCCTGATGTGAAACTTCTTGTCAGTTCTTCCAAAAACAAAAAATGAAACAAATTTTAGGTTTAGAAAGACAAAAGGGTGTAACAGACCTCTTTCTTTGTAAAATGGATTTATCATACAATAAAATCTACAGTATGAATCAAGGCAAAAGAAAGGGAAATGATGGAGAGTACAACTTGATACAAACTGTTAGAAACCATGGAAAAGCAAAGCCAGTTCATTTTACGAGCACGCTACATCGTTGACAAATGTGGCAAGCAAATGTACCGTGCGTAAGTTCAACATTAAGCAAACTGTACATCTACAGTAGGCTTCACAACGCTGATACCACTTTGAGTGAAATGCTGTGACTGATTCGAACGTACACAGGCATGGGCTGGTCGATCTATTCATACAGGTCCTGCAGGCGTTTCCAAAATGAGTCAGCACCGGTGTAACAAGGTAAACACCCTGCCGTTCTTTCCAAATTATCAAGCGCCCTCGTCCCTGTCAATTCTGTATTGGTTTTGGTATCAACCCCATTAACTCAGGCACACTCCTCAGACCTGCCAAACCCAAAAGGTCAACAAAACACTCAGCAGCAGTAGCAGGGCTACGCTGCCAAAAAACAAAAAGTCAACAAAATGACATTTTTCTTGCAAGCTAAACCTCAGGCTTCTGCTTTACAAAATGATCAGGATTCTCCTGAGATGTCCTCTGTCTGACTCAAAAAGAACATATTTAGAGTGTGCAGCAGAAACATGGAAAGAATATGGAAAGTATGCCACATTTACTACACTCTGTCAAAATAAGCAAATTATACACTTGACAAAAGCACACTCTTGAGGAAGCACAATTCAAAAGGCTTGTCACTTGCACTATACAGGCTGGAGAGGCAGTGCCTTCATTTGTTCATTCAGACCAGGAATCATCTGCTATCACGTTATCATCCATAATAATTAGTGCTGCTCCGGAAGTGCTGCACTGAATGGGGTTATACAGAGTACAGGATCAGGTTTCTCTTCCAAAGAGACTATTAAGACAACAAAGCCTTTAAATACTCTTCTATTCTATTACTTTGCCTCTTTCAAAATAGACTTCCAAATTGTTTAATGCATTTCTCCGAGACCACTTCTGCGACAGGATGGCTCATACATTTCCCACTGAAGGCATTATTCCCAATAAATGCCCCCTTAAGTGGAGTCAGTGATTTAGTTTTAGTAAGGTGCACTTGGAAGAAGTACAAGCGGACACTCTTCATTCTTTGGCGGCATAAATTTCTCTACACTTATTAGCAGCTCCGTAGTGTTTCAGTAATCTCCGGGTGATAGATTATTCTGAAAATGTACAACTTGTTTTATCCCTCCTGACAAGATATTGGTCTAC